GATTTGTGTTAGGTACACACATGACATATTCTACTAAACTATGAGTTCTTTGATGAGTTTTATTCTTTATTCCATCCACTGTAGCTCCTAATATAGTACCTGAAATATAGTTAGGATTCAAATAGCTCTTGACAATCTGCAGATCAAAGAACATGAATTCCAAACGAATTAATATACTTGTGTTATTAGAAAGGGACCACTCAAAGTCTAATCAGATCCAAGAACCTACTGGATGCTTTCTCACACTTCTTTCTACTAAACTCAGAGTTTTCAAGATGATTGGCTGTCGTCTGAAGGCCTAAAATACTGGCAAAAAGTGTAAACTAGCTTATTTGAAAACTAAGATTAAGCTCATTCAAAAAGTAAGAATGAAACTTAGAAATCCCATCAGGGAAAACATAATCCGATTGTGGTGTGTGTGTGGAGGGGCTGATTATAAAACACATTTTGTTGAAAAGCACATACTCATAAAGAAAACAAAGAATGCCTGCAAAACATTCATCTTCACTGCAAATTACATGTATCTGTATGGCTCAGTTTTTTTTTTTTCTTAATTCTATTTATTTTTATTGTACTTTAGGTTCTGGGGTACACGTGTAGATCATGTGGGATTGTTGCATAGGTACACACATGACAATATGGTTTGCTGCATAGCTCAGTTTTAAATGACGTGACTATTAACTTTGGTCTATCCCAAAGCCAGAAAGATTATACAGCCCTATGGAAGACAGCAAAGGCAAGCTGCATGAAATCTCCAGGACATAAGCAAAATCATCAGTTTATAATGAGGACTGAGGTATTTTCTCAATGGTTCTTCAAAAATTTTAATCTGCTTTAGGTTCAGACTCAGGAGCAGTAAACACTGTCAATTTATAATTTTACTATAATGTCAATCTCCTTATTAATAATAATGTTCACCTTATGAGTTATAGAGGATTGATTTATAAAAGGACTGAACATTTAGACAATTTTATCCTGCTTAAGGATATTTCCAATATCACGTCTATTCAGAAAATTTTCATTAACAGCTTTCTATACTTACAGAGTTTTCATTAACAGAGTTTTCCTATACTACTCCTAGTACATAGTCACCATTGTTCATGCAAAACTTACCTCATTTACTCATCACTCACTCACACATTTAACATTTGAGGGTCAATAGGGAGCAGCACCTGTGCTAAAATCAGGGAGCATTGAACAATAACAAAAAAATAGGTAAAATCACTACCATTCTTGTAAAAGTTAAGATGGAAAGGTGATCCCAGGGGTAGATTATAAATCGTGGGATTAAAATTTAGGCTTCTTTTAGCAACTCAGTTTGTAACTAGTCATCAGTTTCCAATTATACTCTCAGAGCAATCAGAAATGGTATAAAACAGAAAAAAAAAATATGTATGTGAATACTTTGATACTTAAAGGATTTGTTAAAAATATAAAAACTCACTTAAAAAAAAAGCAGATCCAAACAGAATCTACCTATTACTCATTATTAATCATAACGCCGTTGGTCATCCTCTGCTAGGAAGAAAGGCGGCCGAGTGGGGTAGGATTCAATCACTTGGACTGATGGCATGATGAGTGAAGAACTCTTCTTCTCCTGCTTTTGCCCAGGTCTCTGATGTGACAGGAAAATCTGCAATCCTAGTCTAAAAGCATTTCCCCAACAATTATTCCAACTGCTACTTTATTCAGTGTAATGCGATAAAAGGAGTTGTTGACGAGGAGCTGGAAGCCTTGAGTGTGAGCACCAGCACTGCCATCTACTTCACACCGTTTGCTGCCACTCCATTTACAACTCACCTGTACACTGGCCTCTGATGCTCCACCCACCTCCCTGGGTGATTCCAAGGCCACAGAGAACCAGAGATGCTAACTGTTCTTTCCCAGAACAGCCTAATTTCAGATTCCATTCAGATTTCATGAGGAAAAAAAAAATGGCATGATATGGATAAATTTCCTCATACTGTCTAATTTGGGAGGAAGAAAAATAATTCAATTGAACAGATGGAACTTGGAATCTGGGTTCTAGGGCCAGCTTTGTATAATAATAATCACAGGATGATGGACAAGGCACTTACACTCAGTCCCTGTAAAGCTCAAATCAAAATACCTATCCTACCAGTAAACTAGTTTTGTTGTGAGGCTAAGCAACAGTACAACACAAAAGTAGTCTAAAAGGCTATAAAACATTACTAATCAGGGCAATAACAAAATATTTACGACAAAATTGCCATCACAAGGGCCACTCGGGTTTCTTTTTAACTACTGAGACACTAGACAGAATGTACACATCAAACCCTAAAAATTATCCCATGAGAAACCCAACAGCACTCCTTAAAGTGGGTGTTTCTAAAGTATATGTTGCCAAAATTACATGGCTTATATGTCCCATGCTATTAGCTATACCTTTTTACAGAAGGAAAAACCATTTAAAAAGAGCATTGATCTAGTAAATACATAGTACAGTAAATACAAGCAACAGTAAATACAAAGTACACTC